AAAAAAAATTTGGCAGAAATTCAAACACTTGGAAGCTAAAGACCATTCTGCTCAAGAATGTTTGGGTCAACCAGGGAACCAAAGAAGAACTTAAACAATTCATGGAAACCAATGAGAACGAAAACACATCAGTCCAAAACCTATGGGATACTGCAAAGGCGGTCCTAAGGGGGAAATACATAGCCATCCAAGCCTCACTCAAAAAAATAGAAAAATCCCAAATTCACCAACTAACTCTACACCTTAAAGAACTAGAGAAAAAGCAACAAACAATGCCTAAGCCACGCATTAGAAGAGAAATAATTAAAATTAAAGCAGAGATCAATGAATTAGAAACCAGAAACACAGTAGAGCAGATCAATGAAACTAGAAGTTGGTTCTTTGAAAGAACTAATAAGATTGATAAACCACTGGCCAGACTTATCCAAAAGAAAAGAGAAAGGACTCAAATTAATAAAATTATGAATGAAAGGGGAGAGATCACGACTAACACCAAGGAAATAGAAACAATTTTTAGAAATTATTATCAACAACTATATGCCAATAAACTGAGCAATCTGGATGAAATGGAGGCCTTCCTGGAAACCTATAAGCTGCCAAGACTGAAACAGGAAGAAATTGACAACCTGAAAAGGCCAATAACCAGTAACAAGATTGAAGCAGTGATCAAAAATCTCCCAAAAAACAAGAGTCCAGGGCCTGATGGATTCCCTGGGGAATTCTACCAAACATTCAAAGAAGAAATAATACCTATTCTACTGAAGCTGTTTCAAAAAATAGAAACAGAAGGAAAACTTCCAAACTCATTCTGTGAGGCCAGCATTACCTTAATCCCCAAACCAGGCAAAGACCCCATCAAAAAGGAGAATTTCAGACCGATATCCCTGATGAACATGGATTCCAAAATCCTCAATAAAATCCTAGCTAATAGGATCCAATAATACATTAAAAGGATCATCCACCATGACCAAGTGGGATTTATCCCCGGGATGCAAGGGTGGTTAAACATTCGCAAATCAATCAATGTGATAGAACACATTAATAAGAGGAGGGAGAAGAACCATATGGTCCTCTCAATTGATGCAGAAAAAGCATTTCACAAAATACAACATCCTTTCCTGATTAAAACTCTTCAGAGTATAGGGATAGAGGGAACATTCCTCAAGTTCATAAAATCCATCTATGAAAAACACACAGCCAATATCATCCTCAATGGAGAAAAGCTGAGAGCCTTTCCCTTAAGATCAGGAACACGTCAAGGATGCCCACTCTCGCCACTATTGTTCAACATAGTACTAGAAGTTCTAGCAACAACAATCAGACAACAAAAAGAAATAGAAGGTATTCAAATTGGCAAAGAAGAAGTCAAACTCTCTCTTTTCGCAGATGACATGATACTCTATGTGGAAAACCCAAAAGACTCCACCCCCAAATTACTAGAACTCATCCAGCAATTCAGTAATGTGGCAGGATACAAAATCAATGCACAGAAATCAGTTGCTTTCTTATACACTAACAACACAACTGTAGAAAGAGAAATTAGAGAAACGATTCCATTTACAATAGCACCAAAACCCATAAGATACCTTGGAATAAACCTAACCAAAGAGGTAAAGGATCTATACTCTAGGAACTACAAAACACTCATGAAAGAAATTGAAGAAGACCCAAAAAGATGGAAAAATGTTCCATGCTCATGGATCAGAAGAATAAACATTGTTAAAATGTCTACGATACCCAGAGCAATCTATACCTTCAATGCCATCCCGATCAAAATTCCAATGACAGTTTTCAAAGTGCTGGAACAAACAATCCTAAAATTTGTATGGAATCAGAAAAGACCCCGAATCACCAAGGAAATGCTGAAAAAGAAAAACAAAGCTGAGGGCATCATGTTGCCCAATTTCAAGCTATATTACAAAGCAGTGATCACCAAGACAGCATGGTACTGGCACAAAAACAGACATATAGACCAATGGAACAGAATAGAGAGCCCAGATATAGACCCTCAACTCTATGGTCAAATAATCTTTGACAAAGCAGGAAAAAACCTGCAATGGAAAAAAGACTATCTCTTCAATAAATGGTGCTGGGAAAATTGGACAGCCACATGCAGAAGAATGAAATTCGACCATTCTCTAACACCACTCACAAAGATAAACTCAAAGTGGATGAAAGACCTCAATGTGAGACAGGAATCCATCAAAATCCTAGAGGAGAACATAGGAAGTAACCTCTTTGACATCGGCCACAGCAACTTCTTTCAAGATACATCTCCAAAAGCTAGTGAAACAAAAGTAAAAATGAACTTTTGAGACTTCATCAAGATAAAAAGCTTCTGCGCAGCAAAGGAAACAGTCAACAAAACAAAGAGGCAACCCACAGAATGGGAGAAGATATTTGCTTTTTTTTTTTTAAAGATTTTATTTATTTATTTGACAGAGAGACAACGAGAGAGGGAACACAAGGAGGGGTGTGGGAGAGGGAGAAGCAGGCTTCCCGCCGAGCAGGGAGCCCAACGCGGGGCTCGATCCCAGGACGATGACACTACAGATAAAGGGCTGGTATCCAAGATCTATAAAGAACTTCTCAAACTCAACACCCAAAAATCAAATAATCAAGTCAAAAAGTGGGCAGATGATATGAAAAGACACTTCTCTGAAGAAGACATACAAATGGCTAACAGACACATGAAAAAATGTTCATCATCATTAGCCATCAGGGAAATCCAAATCAAAACCACACTGAGATACCACCTTACACCAGTTAGAATGGCAAAAATGGACAGGGAAAGAAACAACAAGTGTTGGAGAGGTTGTGGAGAAAGGGGAACCCTCTTACACTGTTGGTGGGAATGCTAGTTGGTACAGCCACTTTGGAAAACAGTGTGGAGATTCCTCAAAAATTTAAAAATAGAGCTACCCTATGGCCCAGCAATTGGGTATTTACCCCAAAGATACAGATGTAGTGAAAAGAAGGGCCATATGCACCCCAATGTTCATAGCAGCAATGTGCGCAATAGCCAAACTGTGGAAAGAGCCAAGATGCCCTTCAACAGATGAATGGATAAAGAAGATGTGGTCCATATATACACTGGAATATTACTCAGCCATCAGAAAGGATGAATACCCAACTTTTACATCCACATGGATGGGACTGGAGGAGATTATGCTAAGTGAAATAAGTCAAGCAGAGAAAGTCAATTATCATATGGTTTCCCTTATTTGCAGAACATAAGGAATAGCATGGAGGACACTAGGAGAAGGAAGGGAAAAATGGGGGGGGTGGAATTGGAGGGAGAGATGAACCATGAGAGACTATGGACTCTGAGAAACAAACAGGGTTTTAGAGGGGAGGGGGGAGGGGGGATTTGATAGCCTGGTGATCGGTATTAAGGAGGGCGCGTACTGCATGGAGCGCTGGGTGTTATACGAAAACAATGGATCGTGGATCACCACATCAAAAAGTAATGATGTATTGTATGGTGACTAACATAACATAATAAAATTTAAAAAAAGAAAGAAAGAAAGAAACTTGGGCCCCTGGCACAGGACCCCCAGCCTAAACCTTCAGGCTCCAAGTATGCACAGAAGAGGTGGGATGCTGGACAGGAAGGAATCATAATCCACTGGGACAATGGACTTCTTGGCAGTCTGGATAGATGACTAAGAAACTCTTTAATGCTTCAGTGCCAAAAGATCCCAGGATCTTGGTGCAACTTGGAATTGGGAACCCAAATAATGGATGGAAGTGCTTATCTCCAGCAGCCTGGTAGAATGGGGCTCAGAGTCAGATTTAAGGTGATTAAAAGAAAATAAAACAACACATTATTTCTTGTATCCCTAGAGTCATACCCACTACAGATATTTGGATATTTGTCTCTAAAATAACCATATTTACTTTTTATCTCTAATGTTTTATAGGTCTGTGGTGCCCCACATTTTCTGAACAAGGCTAGCATCATTGGAATAAGTATAAAATTTTCTAGGTGGCCATTTGAAGGTCAGTTTTCTTTTGCCTGTATAGATTTTTTTTTAATTGAAATATAATTGACATAACAAGGCCTGTATACATTACTAATAAACAAAACTATATCATTACTTTAAAAAAAAAGTTGCAATATGTTGTTTAAAAAAAAAACACACCCTTACAGAAGTGTTTTTTTCTTAATTCAATATATTCTAAAATCCACTTAGTGCCTCCAAAGTAGCATTTTTTATATAATAGAATGGGATGGTTAAGATAGAATGGACTAAAAGAGGAAAAGATTGGATGGAATAGCAGAGTCCATTAAATGCAGTAAGGATAAACATCCTTTCCTGAAGCTTCTGTTTTCATCCGGTTTCATCCGGGAAGGAGGAATCTGTGTATGTGTGTAAACTGTATCTCTTAACTGTGTGTTACAGTCCAAAACTTTCTATCTACATTGCCCTGCTGAATTACTCATACCAACCCCAGAAAATTAATTTGCCTATTCTTGACTTCATTAAGCTTAGCTTCCATTTAAATCAAATTTTTCAAACTGCTAGCATCCATCCGGCTCAACTCGGCTCCTGGTCTTTTTGCAGTTAATCTGCTTATTTGAGCTAACTGCGTAGCATTTGATCCAGTAACATTTTATATAATGAAGAATGTAAAGAGCCTCATTAAAGAGCTTCTTTCTCTCCCTCCCCTCCCCTCCATCTTCCCCCTTGCCACTCCCCCTTCCCTCCCTCCCTTTCTCTCTTTTCTTTCCATTCCACCGCTCTGTTATTTTTCCCGGTACTTAATTGGAAACCCCTCATTTGTATTTTTTGGCAGCCCAGACCAAAGTTTCCACTGTTGCGGCTACAGAGCTTTAGGATAGGAGCCTTTTTCAACACCTCTGTTAGGCCTGGATGGAGTTCTTTTCTGATAAACCACAAAGCCCGAATTCCACATTGCTAAAAAGACCTCCCCCCTCCTCCAGGCTCTCCAAATTGAGCTCTCTGTACCTTTTCTGCTATTGTTGTTTTTGCTAGCTCTTTACTTTTGGGTGGAGAGAAGATATTCGACCCGGTGAGCCACTGCACAGCCGAAAATTCTGCTTCGACGCCATCTCGCACAACAGTGCGGTCACTCTCTATGACTGTCACGGCATGAAGGGGAACCAGCTCTGGGGATACAGAAAGGTAAGACTCAGCTCACTGCACGCATTCTCAAACTGCTGGGCTTAAGGTTTTCTACGTCAAAAGTTCGTTAACACACTGCTTTGATTTAAGTTGTTACCCAGACACAAGTACACACGTTGGACTCAGACATTTGGAGACCTCCAGCGAAGATTACGGGAAAGATAAGCTGTGCTGCAAGGGGCGCTGCTTTTGGCTTTGCTCGGTGTGTGCACACCCATCACAATCACTCACGACCGAAAAATGGCTTTGAGGGCGCCCGGGTGGCTCAGTCGGGTAGGCGTCTGCCTTCGGCTCAGGTCACGATCCCAGCGTCCTGGGATGGAGTCCTGCCTGCATCGGGCTCCCTGCTCAGCGGGGAGTCTGCTTCTCCCTCTCCCTCCACCACTCCCCCCTGCTCCTGCTTTCTCTCTCTCTTGCTCTCAAATAAATAAATAAAATCTTTTAAAAGGAAGGAAGGAAGGAAGGGAGGGAGGGAGGAAGGGAGGGAGGGAGGAAGGGAGGGAGGAGGGGAGGGAGGAGGGGAGGGAGGAGGGGAGGGAGGAAAGAAGAAAAATGGCTTTTAGCCAGAACATGCACTGCAAATGAAGGGACTAGTCTTAGCCCAGACAACTACCAAATGGAGAGACCATGTCCCCAGTAAACCAATGTACACATATGTAATTTTTAAGAACCTCAAGTCATACACACACACACACTTACACACACACACACATACACACATACTTATGACATCCATTTATTTAGATCTCAGTCTCATTTGCTTGGGAGCTGTTTGGGTTAAGACAAGCAGATATACATAAATCCACACTCATGTAGGAGTAATTGTCATGACCTTTCTACAGACTGACCCATTTGTAATTTGGCCAAAATCCTGCCCAAGGATAACTAAGGAGAACTTATTTGGGGAATTTAAGTTTAAAAAATTATAAAGTTAACATTTAATGATAGAAAAAGAATAGTTCAAAAGCAAATATAAAAAACACATTTTATTGAGTTGATAAAGAGCAATTAATTTTTTATTTTGAAATATCTTCATCACGTTGTCTTTTGAAAACTTTTTAGGATACCACACAAATTTCTTTTCAACTTTTTTGGTTTTTAGGGCAGGACTTCTTAAACGATACAGAAAATGTCATACCCACAGTTTTAATCATGAGATTTGGCTATCCTGTGGCTGAGGTAAAACTATGGAAAGCTAAAGGGAAGATTCTGCAGAGACTCAATATGGGGGACCACTGGTTTTCATACTTGTTCCGCCACTTAATAAGCTTTCTGGTATCCACTTTTCAGGGGCGGGCACCTAAAATTATACTCAAAGGCAGACTTATTTGTACAAGTTTCTTCTGCATACCACCATCCGCCACGGCCTCTGGCAGATTGTGACTCTGTGTCCAGAAAAAGTATAAAACAGTTGTATCCTTCTGTTTTCCTTAAGAACTGCATCATAAATGATTAATCTTGCCAAGCCCTCTTTGTTATTCAATATGATACAATCTATGTGCAATGCAATAAGAAAGTTGTTTTGTTTTGTTTTATTTTTATGAGGTTTTTTTTTTTTAGAGAAACGTTTTGAAGGTTTTTTTTTTTTTATTTACCAGAGAGAGAGAGAGTACAAGCAGGGGAAGCAGCAGACAGAGGGAGAGGAAGAAGCAGGCTCCCCTCTGAGCAAGGAGCCTGATGTAGGACTTGACCCCAGGACCCTGAGATCATGACCTGAGCCAAAGGCAGTCACTTAACCAACTGCTGACCTTTAAGAAGTTCCTTTCTGGGCACATCAATAAAATCCCTGATTCACCATTCGCCTAGTATGCTGGTTGTCCCTGATGAACTGACCATTTCTTATTATTGCACATTTATAGCATGAGACTCAGAACACTCAATAATATGCAATCAAGCTAAGAAAATACAGTTGTTTTCATTAGGGAGCTTACCAAAGCTTACAGATGGATAAAACCAACTAATACACATGCACACACAGCTCCTGGAGTGGGAAAAAAATGACTCTGGTGATTTCAAGAGGTAACTCTTACAGCTTTAACATTTTAAACCTTTCCAGGACCCTAAGGGACTCCGGAAAGGGACCCACTGGATACAATTGTGCTATGACTCCTTTCTCAGATGCTTTTGTAGCTTCTGGCCTTGCATTACTTGGCAAAAAGTTACATTCACTATGTATTTATATAACAAGCAAGGTATTTATACATAATCGGGAAGATGCCAAAGGCTCAAAATGTAAAGTTTCTGTAATATCTCATCCTGGGCAATGACTCAGGCTTATTCAAATGCACCTGCTTTTGAAAGTGCTTGTTTATTTCGTAGGTTATTCCCAAAGCACAAAGAAAGCACACAGAAGTCTCTCTGGGGTGTTACCTCGTCTATTTAGATGCACTACTTGGCCCTGGAGGCTTCCAGAGAGCTTAGCATCTTTTGAGGTAGCTTTGGAGCTCCCTCTTTTTATTACCATATTCATGAATAAACAGGATCCCTAAGACTCTCTTAATTGCCTAAAGGACCGCAGTGGGCCATCTCCTAAGCTCCGGAGGTAATCACCATCATCATCTCCAGCTGTTAAGGAGGCATTGAGCTAGTGCTTTACACATATTACCTCAAACCTCACAACCACCTAGGTACTATTATGTATAATTCACAGAGGAAGAAACCGATACTCGCATGTTTGCGCTAGAGCCAACATTCAGATTCAGGTGCATCTGGCTTTAAAGCCTCTACTCTTTCCTCTGCCATGCTCTTAAGAAATCAGATCAGTATTCCTGGGAGAGTTCCCCAATGCCCTTTGGATTCAGCACCACTGATAGCAACCAACCCCTCCCCCCAGCTACATGGCAATTTCTTGGAGAGGGAAGGTGGCCTGAAGCTCCTTTGCTTGAGTGGGTGAAGGCTGTTGTCAGGCCCCACTTTCTGACCCTCTGGCAACCATTGGCTCTCAGATGTACTTTTCTTTCAGGAAGATTTTTGGGTCGTTTCCCACTTTTACTGAGATATAATTGACATATATCGCATTGTGTACATTTAAGGTATACAATGTAATAATTTGATATATGTATATATTGAAAAGTGACCACGACCATCGGTTTAGTTAATACATCCACCACCTCACATAGTTACAATTTTTTGTGTGATGAAAACTTTTAAGATCTACTCTCTCAGCAACTTTCAAATATACAACACAGTATTATTAACTATAGTCACTGTGCTGTACTTTACATCCCCAGAACTCTTGTAACTGGAACTCTGTACCATTTGAACACCTATATCCATTGCCCCCAACTCCACCACCCAGCTTTCAATTATTCTTAGATGTGAGTCATTGCCACCATAAAAAAAAAAGAAAAAGTGGGGGAAAATCTCTATGTTAGAGCCTTGTAAAATCAGTAATACAATCATGTCCCACAACACAAGTACCAAGGGTAAAGAATCCCATTCTTGGTTTCCTTTTAACGCTAGGGGGACCCCTCTTACAAAAAGAATGATGTTGGTGACAGTAAAAATATTTAAGTGATCAACTGATACAAAACAAAAAACTTTCTTCCCTCTTCTTCTACCCTTACGTCTAATTAGTCACTAAGACTTGTCAAACGCCCCACCCTCCGCCCATATCTCAAAAATCTATCCTCTCTGCCGTGTCTACAGTCCCTACCCACTGGCCCTTCCTCTCTTACCCCTGGATGACTGTCAGAGCTACCTCAAGGGTCATCCTGCCTCCTGTCCCTTCCCTCACTAACCCATCTTCCATCCTGAAATCAGAGGGAGTTTCTACAAAATCTGGTCATTGCATTCCTCTGTTTTATAACTTTACTTGGTTTCCCACTAAGTAGAAGATAAAGTGCCTTCTTTCAATTCTTACCCTAGACCCTTCACAATCTGGTCATCATAAAGATTTCCTATCAAGCCTAACACATCCTAATTCATCCTGAAACTGTAATGTGATCTTGAATAAATTATTTTGCATCTATGATTTTCAACTTCTTTATCAACATAAGAGGGATAATAATTAAGTGAGCGAAACCATGTAAAAATTAGCAGTTTCTGACCACATGATCAAATTTATATTCATGTGGGTGACAAATGCAATTTGTACACTGAAAATAGTGGTAAGGCGTATCCTGATAGACCACATCACTACAGCAACCTATCCTAAGCAATATTAACTATTGTTACCCACCCACCCCCAAAATTAAGAGCTATCGCCCATGTCTTTTTCTTCTTAACTAAAGTTTTGTTGGAGTATAATATGTATCTTAATTTGGATTTCTCTAGATGTATACCTTAAGTGACAATTTGAAGGTGTTTCATTTGGGAGATGCCCCCCAAAACCTTGGTAGGAAGTGGGTAAGTGAATGAGAAAGGGATGGGAGCAAATAAAGGGTGAATTATAAAGCAAGTACCACTGTGGGTGATTAGTACTCAATCCTACTAAAGATCTCCGGAAATGGTATAGAGCATGTGTCAGAGAGTAAGGGAGTTGGGATATTTATACAGCACTCTAATCAAACTGAGGTTAAGATTGCTCCTAACAGGAGGGGAGTTTATTCTCTGACATCTCTGGACAGACAGAATTGTTCTTGAGACCAGAGAAAGCCCTTAGGGAGTGAGATACCGTGGCCAACTGAGGGAGGTTGGGCCAGCACGCACTGAATTGGTGAGGCCTGAAGAGCTATGGGCAAGGTACAGATACTACATGAGAATCCAGTTGCTCCACATTTTCATCAACTCTTGGCATTCTGTTTCTTTTTCTTTTCCTCTTTTCATTTTGTGGTTGTAGAGTGATATCACATGCTTGCTAGCTGCTTTGGATATCTTCTTTGTGAAGAACCTGTTAAGTCTTTTGACCATTTTTTAACATGGGTCATCTGGCTTTTTCTTACAGACTTTTGGATAGATTAGGTAGATAGATAGATAGATAGATAGATAGATAGATAGATAGATAGATAGATAGATAGATAGAAAGATACAAGTGCTTTGTTGGACATACATATTGTAAA